ATTCTTTTAGAGCAATGCCATAATTATACAGGTTAAAGGAAAATCTCCAACTATGGCCATTAAATTGTTATAGCATAATTTAAATTTTTAGTTGGTAACATAATTATAGTAACCAGCACTCTTATGACCACTAAAGATACTTAAACCTTTATAAAATAGCCTTAATAAACATGCTTATATGTCTTCAGAATGTTCTGGCATTGATTATTGTTTCTTTAAAGATACAGTTCTATTCAATTTTAATTAATCAAGTGAACAACATTTATTAATGACTGAATATTCAGATACCTAAATAATGAGAAATTAATACATATTTTTAGGTTAAATCAATTATATATTCATTATAAGCTAGAATCAATATCATTTTTGGAATATTGATATTCTATAATCTACACCATTTTATTAATTCATTTTTAGAATTCTCTTATTCTTTTTCATCATCTTTAGAATTAATATCTTCAATAAAAATAATAAATTTATTTATTAATTAAATCCATGAAGTAATATCTCCCATTTTAGACCAATAATGATTTGATCTTATTATTGATTCTCTCTATTGATGAATTTGAAAACTTTTAAATGGATTCTTTTTACTTTCAACATTACCTTCTGATAGTATTTCACCATCTGTCAATAGTGTAGATATAACACTACTATAATAATGAAAAGTCTCATTTTCTGCTTCCAATAATGGTTCATAATATATCAATGGAATATAGTTTTATAATGAACTATATTCTGAGTCAACTACATTTTACAATTAATCAATTTAAATATTGAATTATTAAGCATAAAATTTAGTATTTTATGGATTAAAAGTGAATTCTTCATCAAAAATTAATTTATGTTCCTATAAATCTTTGAATTCATCAAATCCAAATAAATAAATAATTTTAGGATAATAACTAATTCTGTTACGAATGATGATATCATGTCTACTTAGATTATATTATTTATAAACAATGGCATTATTGATTTCTTCTAAGAATGTTTTGACTGTAGTTTAATAACCCATATGTATAATTAATGATATTTTTGATTAAACATTTTACAAATATTTTCTTAGTTATTAATAATTTAATGTCAAAAATACCTTTCTTTTTCCTTTTTATTATGGATATACCATTTCCATTAATTGTTAACCAAATTATTCATAATATTATTAGAATGGTATTATTTGATGGACTTCAAATTCTTCTGATTGTGATAATTAATTATGAAAATAGATTGCTTAAAATATTTAATCCATTTGATATAATGATTCACAATAAACAACTATATCCCTATCAATCTCAGAATTAGAGTTTTTAATCTATTACAAAACATATGTCAATTATTAATTGTAAGGTATACTTAAAAATAATTCATCTTATTAAGTTTGTAAGTAAGGAATTTCAATAATGTTATCATAAGCTATATTAAAATAATTAATTAAGTGTTCAGATATTAAGTCATTTGTTATAATCACCAATTAAGATTTTGTTGTTAATAACTAATCATAATATTTATACATACCCATTTAATACCTATGTATTAATATGAATTCAATTTAGTCTCTGTACGTAGATCTGCAACTATAATTTCAAAGTTTTAATTGACCAAATTACACCAATTATAATTAGCTTCAACTATGTCTGATATCACTGTGATTGCATGATTTTTAGACAATAATTCTTTTATAAATTTAAGTGTGTCAATTTCCTAAAGCGTATCAACAATTAAAGTTGTTTATTGTAATGGTAATAATGAATCAAAGACTTAAACCCATTATTGTCTTAGAAATGAATTTGATTTGTCTTTTAGATAAATTTCTCTGATGAGATGTTGTTGATTTTACATTTAAATATTTATGAGATATATAATTGTGATTCCATTTCATAGATATTTAATAATCATATATGATCAATTCCCTTTTCTTGATAATCTTCTTTTGAAAGCTGTTCCGTAAAGAATATTCCCAAAACATGTTGCCACTATCTCTAATAAAACTGGTAACAAACTATAAATACATTTTGAATATTTTTTTACATAAATGCTGCCCAATAATACCATAATTCATAATAAGGCCATGCTCCTATAATAAACTCGCTGTAAATTATTATGCCAACTGCATGTAAACATATAACTTATTGAAGTTTAGTTACTTTTACTTAAAAAATTGCTGGTATCATAAAACATAGTAATTCCAGTTATAATGAATATCATTTCTATACCAAGGCCAATCAATCCCAGTATGATACATGAGACTATGGAATTATATGCTGAAGTGTATGTATCAGAAGTGGTGTCATATGTTTTGGTTTGAAAATTAGCCAAGATGTTTTCTTTCTAATAGATGAGGAGTTGGATACAGCTCCATAATAAGCCATTAGCGATGTTATGAAATGGCAGGAAACTAGAATAAATTTACTAGGTATCAATAATCCATTAATAGTCATTAAATTAATTTATACCCAAATATTCAAATCAACTCATGAGCTGTTTCATCTTCTATTTATATATCATCATCTTTTTCTATTAAATCTTCATCGAACTTTTAATCTTATTATTCATTCTATTCTAAATCTATTGGTTGATATTGTTATTGTTATTATTATTGTTATTATTATTTCGGTTATCTTTATTAAATCTATTGGATCAACATCTAATTTTAAATGATAATATTTATTACTTCTTATTTAGATTATGGTATTTCACGCATTTCTGTTCTTGCAAAATATTCTTTTACTTTCTCTTGATTATTATAAACCCAATATAATCCAAATAAAATTCCTCCAATTACTAACCAATCATATATCCAATTCTTATTGTTAGGACAACTGAATCTCATTGAAATATGTTCAACTCCTCCTTCACAAATATCTCCTGCAATTTTTCTATATCCACTAGAAACTGTATAATATCCATCACAGTCAGCAGGTGGATCAATATTTAAAGTACCATTTATTGGAATACATTATTAATTATTCATAACAAATCCTAAATCGCATTCGTAATCTTCTTATGAGCATTAACATGGAGTAACACTAATAATTCTTTCCAATTATTCAGGATTGTAACAAGCAGCTTCTCTACGTTTTCTCATATAAGTAACCTTTTTTCCAAATAAACATTCTGGATTAACAAGACCAGAAGGTGTCCATAATTCATAATCACTTCCAATTTCACCTGCTTTTTCTTATCCAATACAATTTCTTTGATGCAATTCATCTAAATCTATAGTTGCCAATAATCCCTATTCAGTTCTAATACCATTAGATTCTAATTAAATGGCACCATAAGCTATAAATCTAGTTCCTTTATTTTAAGGTTCAGTAATTATATTTTAGATTTCTGCCCTCTAATCTAATATATTGAATGTAGTCCATTCCATACCACCATTCCAAGAATATACAATCTAATTAGTTGTTTCTTAATCTTTAGCCATAACAATTAATCCTCCATGATTACTAATTTCATAAATATAAGATCCTTTTTTTATTTCAATCCAAGTCAATCCTCCATCTCTACTTAAATATGTATGAACTTAATCTTATCTATAACTTAAATATTTTCCAATAGAACCTGTTGCTACAATAATACCAATGGAATTAGTTTGAGTGTATATAGGTGCAAATTAATAAAATGCTTAACTAAGATGCAAATGCAATTAGCACTTATTGCAATTAATTGGTTTTCCATCGGCATCAACTGTGGGAGGCTAATGAAGATAGAAATTTAATTAATACCTTCAAAGGGACCCATTATCCTCCCTTATCGAAAGTAATCCTGGTTTATTTATATTTCTTTAGATCTTCATCTTTAAATCCATTTTATTAAGCGTAGAAGCCTTCTTCCATAGATTCAAAGACTTAATTTGTATATATCTTAGCTTAATCTTCAGCATAAACATTAGCTAAGTAAATGCCTTCTAATCCTTAGACTCTATAAAATTCAGCACTGTTTTCCAACCTTGAAACATTCTCCAAGGATCTAGAATATCTAGTACCAGTAGAATCACTAATATAAATAACTCCTAATGGAGAAGATGGTTTGAGATGATTAACAACCATAAAAACTTAATTTTCTGATGTGTCTAATATACTATATGAATGTTCTAATAGTTTAGAATCTGCATCAATTATACTATATTTATATTAACCTAATTCTGTTCCACTCACATATAGACTGACTTCTTATGTTACTTAAGATGTAACTTTAGCAACAAATAAGAAGGATTCTGTAAGCATAAATCTAGAACCTGCTGGGACACTTAAAGTACGAGTTTGGAAAAAATCATCGCTATAATATAGATTATAATCCATATTCCAACTGCTAATTGATTAATGTCCTTTACCCTATGGTTCAAATGATGCTAGAATTCGTTCCTTAGGAGTATATTTAGCCATTTCTTTATTTTTGACACCCCAAGTAAATTGATTTACATAAGTTGCTATTTAATGCCATGTAATTCCTGTGTCTTAACTTAAAAGAAGTTCCTTATAAGAAACACAAGGTGTTCCTGCAAGTAATTCATCAGATCCACATTATTTCCATGCTGATGCAATAATCCAATCTTTTTCAAGTGGATGAAATTGATATTCTCGCAACTATTTTCCAGCATTGACAGCTGTTATGGTTTTTCCACAATCAAGGGAAATCCAAGCAATTTGATCTGTTCCTGTAAATAACACTAAGGATTTATCAACAGGACTTGGAACCAAATTATTTACAATTCCGACTCTTTCATCTGAATCTTCAAGTTATATGAGAGCTTTGCGATGAAATATCTCAGACATTTTAGTCCATTATCTACCACGATCATCGCTTCTATACACAGATCCTTTAGATGTGAGTGCTAAGACAGTATCACTACACCAATGTATGTTGATCAAGGGGGCATCTATATATGAGATCTAAACATCAATATTAGAAGCAAAGCATTGCATGATCAACAAGAGAATGATGTGTCTCATTAACACGTTTTATTATTTTAATTAATTTGGATTTATTTATTAACCTCATATTCATAATTATGATTAGCATTATCCAGCACGTTTACAATGGCAAGATGATCCTTTGCTTAAGACAATCTTCTTAATATCATCTAAATTGACTTTCTTTTCCTTTAAATCCTCAGCACTTGGCATAACATTCAATCTTAATGCTTCAGATATAATCATTTAAGCCTTAAAAATAAATAAAAATATCATACATTAGGAGTATTCATACTAGCAGAAGCTACAACACGTCCTTTTCTAGCATAATAAGCAACAAATTTTTATTGACTTAAGTCTCCATCCACAATAACTTCATCAAATCCTTATCCAACTCCACTATATGCTAAGGTTCTATCCCATTATCTTGTCCAAAAGAATGGTACATCTGTCAAAGGAGTTGGTCTACCTAAAATATTCAAAGCAGCAACATATCTAAAATTAATTAAATATCTTACCCTTATCTAACAGCTTCATTTTAATGTTCAATTCTAACATGTTCACCAGTAACCCAATATGGATAACTTGAAATATCACCTGATGCATAAACATTCTTGGCAGCCTTTAAGAACACATCTGTTTCAATACCTCCATTTGAAGATATTTTTAATTAATCTTTAGCAAGTTTATTATTTGGTTGAATTCCTGTTCCTAAAATAACTAAATCTGCTTATAATGATTTTCCATTTAATAAATCAACTCTTTATACTTAACCAACTCCACCAATTCTTTTGACTCCAGCATTCAATTCAAATTCAACTCCATTAGCTTCATGTAATTTTTATAAAGATCCTCCTACTTCTTTACCAAGAACTCTCTCAAATGGAACAGATGTACTATCTACAACTATTATATTGACTTAATCTTTTAATTCTTTTTTAATAGCTGAAGCTGTCTCCATTCCAATAAATGAAGCACCTACAACTACTATATTTTTTGCTGTCTTTGCTTTATCTCTTATTGATTATAAATCATTGAATTATCTTAAAGTGTGTACATTTCCTAAATTAACTCCATCTAATTGAGGTCTACGAGCAGTACCACCTGTTGCCAATAATAATTTATCATAATGAATTTTCTCTTATCCAACAACAACATCTTAATTATTAATATCAATTGAGTCAACTGTAGTATTAGTCTTTACATCTATTCCATACTATTCATAAAATGATTAGGGTCTAATTTACAAACCCTATTATTTAACCATAAATGTCATCTTGCTCATAGGAGTTCTATCATAAGGTAATGAATCCTCAGCTGTAATAATAGTAATTCTTCCTCTAAATCCAGCCTAACGAAGTGTCTCAGCTGCACTCTAACCAGATACTCTTATAAATTTAATCAATAATTATACCCTCCACCAACAATCACTACATGTGTTGGATCATCACCTTTTGTTACCATATTTAATGTTCTTGGAGCATTTAATAATGATTTNAATTTTTATTGACTTAAGTCTCCATCCACAATAACTTCATCAAATCCTTATCCAACTCCACTATATGCTAAGGTTCTATCCCATTATCTAGTCCAAAAGAATGGTACATCTGTCAAAGGAGTTGGTCTACCTAAAATATTCAAAGCAGCAACATATCTAAAATTAATTAAATATCTTACCCTTATCTAACAGCTTCATTTTAATGTTCAATTCTAACATGTTCACCAGTAACCCAATAGGATAACTTGAAATATCATCGGATGCATAAACATTCTTGGCAGCCTTTAAGAACACATCTGTTTCAATACCACCATTTGGAGATGTTTTTAATTAATCTTTAGCAAGCTTATTATTTGGTTGAATTCCTGTTCCTAAAATAACTAAATCTGCTTATAATGATTTTCCATTTAATAAATCAACTCTTTATACTTACCAACTCCACCAATTCTTTTGACTCCAGCATTCAATTCAAATTCAACTCCATTAGCTTCATGTAATTTTTATAAAGATCCTCCTACTTCTTTACCAAGAACTCTCTCAAATGGAACTGATGTACTTTCTACAACTATTATATTGATTTAATCTTTTAATTCTTTTTTAATAGCTGAAGCTGTCTCCATTCCAATAAATGAAACACCTACAACTACTATATTTTTTGCTGTTTTTGCTTTATCTCTTATTGATTATAAATCATTGAATTATCTTAAAGTGTGTGCATTTCCTAAATTGACTCCATCTAATTGAGGTCTACGAGCAGTACCACCTGTTGCCAATAATAATTTATCATAATGAATTTTCTCTTATCCAACAACAACATCTTAATTATTAATATCAATTGAGTCAACTGTAGTATTAGTCTTTACATCTATTCCATACTATTCATAAAATGATTAGGGTCTAATTTACAAACCCTATTATTTAACCATAAATGTCATCTTGCTCATAGGAGTTCTATCATAAGGTAATGAATCCTCAGCTGTAATAATAGTAATTCTTCCTCTAAATCCAGCCTAACGAAGTGTCTCAGCTGCACTCTAACCAGATACTCTTATAAATTTAATCAATAATTATACCCTCCACCAACAATCACTACATGTGTTGGATCATCACCTTTTGTTACCATATTTAATGTTCTTGGAGCATTTAATAATGATTTTTCTACTCTTATAACTAATTATCCATTTTCTTATTTGACAGGGAATGTTTATAATCCTCTAAACATTGGTCCTTCTTCATGAGCACCATCTTTAACTGAAAAACTGGCATTATGAAATGGACATTTGACTTTATCACCAACTAAGAATCCTGCAGAAAGTGGAGCTCCTACATGTGGACATGAATTAGAAACACAATAGATCTGTCCATCAACTTTGCATACTAAAACAGCATCTTCTTTTTTTGGACCAACTTATACTTCTCTCATTTCTCCTTCGGTTAGATTATCTTCTATTGAAACTTCATAGGCATCATTAAGATTTAGTGTCTAATCTATATTGGATCTCATACTTAAAAGCCATATCTTATTAGTGGAAGAGATATTAAAGTAGCTGCTAAACGTTATGTACGTTTTGGAACTACTAATGGAGTACGTCTAAGACTTATTGCAATTGCTGAGGATAATATCTTTCTCATAAAAATTTAATTAAAATTGTGTAAACTTAGTATATAATATAAAACGATTCATGATTATGCTAAACTATACAACTAGATATTGCAATCGTTCTTATTTCCACTACTCAATATATCAATCTTATCAGTGATACTATCTCTAATAGCCAATACTCCTCCAAATGGATGACAATCATGTAAAGATTTCAGTTGGGTTGTGATCATAGGTTATGGACTAATTACTTAATTATAATTAAATACTTATCATTCAATAGAGTTTTGCCATTGAATACTTTGAAAGTGCCATCAAAACTAACAGTTCCAATGAAGCAGTTTTTAATGCATTCATATTCATTTTATGTTTACTTTTTTCTTCTTGGTGATCCACATAATGGAATTGATGTTTAGAGTTATGTTTTCTATTATGGAGTCTATTCCTCTTCTATTTAAAAGTTGATTATTCTGAAACACCACCCAGCATAATTTTTAACTTGTTTTATTAATGTTCCATCCATAAAATCCCAAACCTTAAGTTCACCTGAAGCACTACTACTATAAAGAATGTTTCCTCCACCATAAGCTAAACTAGTAACCTCTGTTGGATGAGCATCAGACAAACTCATAGACAATTATAATTTTTCAAATACATTATTTGTGTATGTCTATTTATATACTTTAATGTTTCTATCCTTTCCACCAGATGCGACATATTAATCTCCAAGTAATGTCATACATGTTATAGAATCTCTATGTTCAAAGTATTTTTTTTATTAATCATTCNTCAATAATTATACCCTCCACCAACAATCACTACATGTGTTGGATCATCACCTTTTGTTACCATATTTAATGTTCTTGGAGCATTTAATAATTATTTTTCTACTCTTATAACTAATTATCCATTTTCTTATTTGACAGGGAATGTTTATAATCCTCTAAACATTGGTCCTTCTTCATGAACACCATCTTTAACTGAAAAACTGGCATTATGAAATGGACATTTGACTTTATCACCAACTAAGAAACCAGCAGAAAGTGGAGCTCCTACATGTGGACATGAATTAGAAACACAATAAATCTGTCCATCAACTTTGCATACTAAAACAGCATCTTCTTTTTTTGGACCAACTTATACTTCTCTCATTTCACCTTCATTGAGATTATCTTCTATTGAAACTTCATATGCATCATTAAGATTTAGAGTCTAGTTTATTTTGCATATAATACTTAAAAACCATATCTTATTAGTGGAAGAGAGACCAAAGTAGCTGCTAAACGTTATGTACGTTTTGGAACTACTAATGGAGTACGTCTAAGACTTATTGCAATTGCTGAGGATAATATCTTTCTCATAAAAATTTAATTAAAATTGTGTAAACTTAGTATATAATATAAAATGACTCATGATTATGCTAAACTATACAACTAGATATTGCAATCGTTCTTATTTCCACTACTCAATATATCTATCTTATCAGTGATACTATCTCTAATAGCCAATACTCCTCCAAATGGATGACAATCATGTAAAGATTTCAGTTGGGTTGTGATCATAGGTTATGGACTAATTACTTAATTATAATTAAATACTTATCATTCAATAGAGTTTTGCCATTAAATACTTTAAAAGTACCATCAAAACTTACAGTACCAATGAAGCTATTCTTAATGCATTCATATTCATTTTATGGTTACTTCTTTCTTCTTGGCGATCCACATAATTAAATTGTTGTTTATAGCTATGTCTTCTATTATGGAGTCTATTCCTCTTCTATTTAAAAGTTGATTATTCTGAAACACCACCCAGCATAATTTTTAACTTGTTTTATTAATGTTCCATCCATAAAATCCCAAACCTTAAGTTCCCCTGAAGCACTACTACTATAAAGAATGTTTCCTCCACCATAAGCTAAACTAGTAACCTCTGTAGGATGAGCATCAGACAAACTCATAGACAATTATAATTTTTCAAATACATTATTTGTTAATGTTTATCTATATACTTTAATGTTTCTATCCTTTCCACCAGATGCAATATATTAATCTCCAAGTAATGTCATACATGTAATAGAATCTCTATGTTCAAAGTATTTTTTTTATTAATCATTCTAAGTATTCCATTATAATAATCTATTATCACCTTATGCACAACTAAATATAGTAGTGGCATCTTCTAAACAAACAATAGAATTGATTTAACCATTATGAATTCTATCAATTGATTTAAGTACTTCGAATCCTTAATTCAAAATACAAATATCTTTGAATAATCCTACAATCAAAAAAGAAGAACCATCCTTTCTTATCTAAACAGCCAATGATGTAACATCGCTCTTAAATTATATTTCTTTAAACAATTCATAAACTCTGTATCTATATATTTTGACTGTTCTATCATTTGAACCTGTAGCAATAAAATCATCATCAAATTGTACCATACAATTAATACCTTATTTATGAGTAGTCTTGATTGTTTTCACAAATGATATTGATGTTATTGGATCAGATATGATTAATTAAGTAGTTTATCTCAATCTATGTTTTAATTACATTTCTTTTATTTCATCTTCATCTTCTTCTAATTTAGTTAACTATTTTAATGTTTTAGTGCTTTATTCCTTAATTATAGTTTCCAAGTATTTTGTACCTTTAGGAGATGCCAATTATTGCTTTAAACTTATATTTTCTTTGTTCATTTTAATCATTTAACTTTTGTAGCCTGGAGACATAAAATCTACTTATGTTAAAGAGTGATAACATTTTTCTATTAATTCTTACATTCCATTATAAGTTTATTAAGCTAGTCCTTAATTTTTATAACATGGTCTACTGTTAAGCAATACTTTATAATCATTAACTAAATCATTTAATACTTAATTATCACTCTATTTCAATGCCATATTACTGAATAATGAATATCCTGATTTTTGAGACTCTCCTTCTTCAACATTTAAATTTTATTATTATAATGCTCTTTAAAACTGACCATTTGCCTTACTAACTAATGGTATTATATTCTACATTAATTTTCTAAGATTAAATTAATTTTAATCACTTTTCTTATTAGAAGTTTACTGATCTTATAATTTACTTACTTCACTTAAGAAATTATCATAATCATTATTGTAATCCTTATTTTTTTCTAAATAATAATCAGATACTAATTTTTCTAATATAGTTCCCATATCCATAAGATCTTATAAATAATTTTTATATGGAGCCATAAATTCAGCTTTAACTTTATTAATCATTTCTGTAAATTTAGTTACTAATCCATCAAAATCATTATTAATCAATTATTCCTAATTCTTAATATATGTTTTAAAACTAGCTTGATGAGCTTAGGTAGAAAGTACTATTTAATTTAATTCTTTTTAAGGTTCGTCTCCCAATCTACCTGATACACTTTACCTTCTACAAAGAATCATTAAATCATTCCATCCTATTATATGTTCTTTATGTTTAGCCAAATGTTGTTAATGCTAAGTTTCAAAAAGACATTCAGAACAAAATGATATTGATTGTGTACAAGTTGTACATAAACAAACATGAGAGATGTTAAAAGAAGGATGTGATGGGCAAGGAAGGCTTCCTTAGCTAGCTAAATTAATTTGTGTTTTTGTTCTTAAAGTAGCAAAACTTGATCTTGTTTTATTCATATTTTTCCGTTAATAAATTAATAATTAACTTTTTTTTGATAAAAATTCTGATTGTTTTTATTAAAAATTCATGATTAATATACAAGCACTTGTAATTCAACAAAAAAATTAAAAATAATAATTCTTTATTACTTTTCAAACATTTTTTGTAAGAATTTAACTCAAATAAATAATCATAGACTCATTTTGAATAATAATTATTTCATTATTATAATTAATTATGGGTTATTTTGACTTAATTAATCAACCACTAAATGAATTTGGAGAGGAATTAACAAGTAATTTTATTGATCCAGCTAAGGACTTAAGACAGATATTGTGACTAACTTAAAGCCTGAGTCAAGATTTAATGTTTTGGTTGGACTTTCAGTTGTTAATTTAGCTATTGGTGTAGCTGTCAAAGGAATTAAATCAAGACCCCTTTAAACAGGTTTTATAAGTTTCTTTGGATTTGGTTTAATTATTTATCCAGAATTGTACTTCGGATTGATCAAATAAAAAAAAGTGTAGTAATAAATAACACATCATTTTATTAAGAGAGATTGAATTATTAAAAAATGCAAAATATAATCTTCAAGTTTTTCTTCTTTTAAATTTTTCTTGATATTTCATTTATTTTACCTTATTCAATAAATCTACCTTAGAAGTTACTCTCCTTCTTATCAAAGACCTTTTAAATTTAGTCGGGATTATCAATTATACCTTATCATCAGCAATCAGTTCTACAGATAAATCAGAAAAATTATTTTGATATTCCTTCTTAAGTGGACTTAAGCTATTTTCATTTAAACTCCTATTAACTCTTCCTGTCGTTTAGTTATTATTATCACTCTTATTTAAGTAAATCCAATCTTATGTTTTAATTTAACCAACAGTTTGTAAAGGGCGAGAAGAATATTGATCAGAATATGAGGAAATTGAACTCACAGAATCTAGAATTTATCTTGGATGCTCAAAAATTGCCCTTTTGATTGAATTGCACTCACTTTCTGCACCACAATTATTTTACTTTTGTTTAGATGCAATCTATAAACTTTAACAAGCACTACCCATTTAATTAAATTAATATCACAAACTCATCTAATTTATAGTTAATTTAATTTTTATAAAAAGGATATAAGATGTAATGTAAGTTGAATTAATAAAATGTAAAAACCACTTTTTATTACAAAAAATATCAATCCATATAAAATAAAAGCTGTTATAAACTTGTCATTTAGATATTTTTTAAAAGAAAACAATAAAATTATAATTAGAATGCATTAATTCCAAATAAATTTTTATATTCTGAAATGAAACTAATTCTAATCTATTTAAGATATCCTTAATTTATCAATTAATATAATTTAATTGTAACAAAAAAATAATATCAAATAGTATTGACATAGAATTGTATCAATCTTAGATATTATTAAATAGTCATCTTTGTAAATTAAAGTACAAATTTCTTAATTGTAAGATTTTAATAAGAATTATTTAAAATTTTCATTTTAAATGAGTTTTTAGGAAAAATTAATTTCGAAAAAAAATTATTGCTCTGATGAATGAATAATATTTAAGTTTTTAAATATTGAATGTTAAAATAATAATTAAAAAAAAGTAATTTATTAATTTTCCCCACTAAAATATTAAATAAAATCAATCTATTAGATTGTGAGCTAATTTAAATTATTATTATTCGTATTAGTGCTATTCTTAGAGCCTTTGAATTCTTTATTAAGCTTTCTATCTTTCTAAACTTTAAAGTTTTTCTAATTTTGCTCTATTTTCAGATTTACAATTTCTCAATTTATCATCTCTTCTATTTTCATTTGCTTACTCTTCCATAAAGACTCTCATAATCTCCTAGTTTTATCTTTAAATTATTTAATTTAACTCAAATAACACTTCTGGACTTGGTGGCTCAGCTGGTTTTGATTATACTATTTCTTACTTTTTAGTTCTTTTTGGAGATTTTTTTTATTCTTAACTATAATTATAAATTATTACATTATTGTTATTCTGGTGATTATTATTGTAATTATGTTTATTCTAAAGGTTTTGTTTAATTATTCAATGTTTCTTATAATTATGGGGATGATGAATTAATTTCAGGGAGTTTATCTTAAGCTTTTGTTGATCTAACAGTACTAAAAGGTTTAGTTAAAGTCATTAATTTTTTATTATTATTTTTATTAATTGATTAAGATTAGGATTTTCTAGCAAAATTTTATTCTTCTTATGTTGATGACTTTAAATCAGTTGTTGTAATACCTAATTATTTTTATATTTCAGAAGGAGGAATCTTTCCTTCTCTAATTTTCTCTAATTTTAATAAAAGATCTCTTTTTTGTTTATCAATTTCTCTTCTCATATTTTATCTTTATATTAATAATTATTCTAAATCTTCTTAAATTTTATCAGCTCTTTCCATCTTTTCATTTAATTTTTCTTATAATTTCATTCTATCATATTCTTATTTTTTCATAATTCTTTCAACATTATCTCTTTTATCAATTCTTTTTAATGTATCTAAATTTCTTTTATCAGTAATTTAAATAGATCTTTCAAATTATATTTTTTATAAATTATCATCTTTTTCTTAAAATTTTTTCAAAAATTCTTCAATTCTATCTTTTTATCTTTACTCATTTTATAATAATACTTGATGTCTTTATTATTCTTTTTCATGTTCTTCTTATCTCTTTTTTTCTTTTTCTTTTTCTTATTCTTTTTCTAATTACTTTCTTCTCTCTTCTGCTTCATCTATTTTTTTTAAATACTCTTTTTTTTTCTCTAATTCCATTTATTCATTTTATTCAATAACTTTTCTTATCATTTCTGCATGTTATTCAGCTTCTATTTTTTATTATTCTAATTTTTTTCTTTTTTCTTCTTCAAATTATAATCTTTTTTATTCACTTATTTATAATTTTTTTTCAACATCTTCTTTAACTCTTAGAATTTCTTATTCATTTCTTTCTTTTGCTTATTTAATTCTTTCTTCATTTTCTATTCTTGCCTTTTCTGCCTCTTATTTTTTCTTTTCTTTTTGTTCTTCCATCATTTTTTTCCTTTACTCAGCCTTCTCATCCATTTCTTTTTTTCTTTTTTCTAATGCTTCCAATTATAACCTAATATTTTCCTCATTTAATTTCCTTAATTTTTCTTATTATGCCTTCTTTTCCTCCTCTTTCTTTTTGTTTTCTTCTTCTCTTAATCTTTATTTTAATTCCTCTTATTTTATACGTTCTTATTCTTTAGATTCAAGCAATTTCATTCTTTCCTTCAATGCCAATTCTTCTTGTTCTTTTTTTTATTACTTCTGCAACTCCTTCTATCTCTTTATTTCTTCCTATTAGGCTCTTTTTCTTTCCAATTCTAATTCTCTCTATTTCTATTTAATCTTCTCATCTTACAACTTCTTTTCATTTTATTCCTTAATCTCTTATAATTTTAATTCGAACTCTAGCATATTTTCAATCTCTTTTTGCTATTTTTTCTTAATCTTTTCAATTTATTACTTCTCTTTCTCAATTAAAGATGAAGCATCTTATTAGGAATATTTAGAAATCATTTTACTTTTACCTAATCCATCAGGACTCCACAATCCTAAATATAATTGTTACACTATTTTACCTGTCTTTTCATCTTCCAAAACTATATGTCTTTATTTAATAAGATCTCTATATTTTTCTTCCCTCTTCTCTTCAAAATGTTTATAATATGTCTCTATTCCTTTAGCATCCAAATTAGATAGTCTATATTTTTTTTAATATTCTTCAAATGAAACTTTAACTATTTCACTAGGACTAATTCCTTCTCTTCTGCAAGCCTCTAAAGATCTAGGTGTATTAACTTCAGGAGCATTGGGTTAATGAAAGCCAAAATCTTATAGGGACACTTTCATTAAAATAATTATTAAAATATAAGTCATATACCAGTCTCATCCTCTCTCTTTGTCAAAACTTCATACCCATTTTCAGTTATTAAAATCATATGTTCCCATTGAGCTAACATTATAAATAGATAACAATACCACTAGGATTATCTGGAGAAACAACAGTAAAATTATCTTTCCACATTAAATATTAATCATGACGCATCAAAAGAATAGGTTCTATTGTAAATACATTTCCTGGAACCATTACACCTGGATAATCATTGACTATATATATATATTAAATATTAATTACAATTATGAATTATTGTTGGAGGCATATGCATCAATTCACCTATTCCATGTCCTGTAAATAATTCACAAACAGTAAATCCTTCATCACCAGCAACTTCTTCAATGATATCTCCAATTTTACTGAATTTCTATCCTGGCTTACAAATTTTAATCGCTTCATAAAGAGCCTATTCTATTTGTGGGAATAATTTATAACTTTTTGAGTTGTATCTATTAATTTAGTAATTTCTGGATTCATTTCAGGAACCTATGCCATAACACTTGTATCTCCATGTACTCCATCATAAAATATAGTCACATCGATATTTAAGGAATCTCCCCCATTTAAAGGTCTAAGATTAGGTATTCCGTGACAACAAACTTCATTCACAGATGTACAAACACTCTTAGGAAAACCCATAAATCCTATTGGAGAAGGATATGCATTTTATGAAATTATGAATTCATGAACTATCTTATCTAAATCATCTGTTGTCATTCCTAATTTGACTGATTTTTGAGCCACATAAGCAGTTTATGCTGCTATTTAAGCTGCTTTTCTTAATTCTATTTTTAAATCATACTTTTTTACTTTGGATCATATCTTAATTATGAACTACAGGTGCTCCTTCATATATCCCATAGATAGGCTTTGTCTCATCTATTATACTTAATTGTTTCTCATACTTATATAACTTGGTCTTTGAATATGTGATGGTACTGCCCTAGCTGGAACTACACCATATTGACCCTAAATAAAAATTCATAATTCATACCTCAATGATAGGTTTAGAAAAGTACTTAATATGGCTTCTTTTTCTTTATTTAATTCTTCCTATTTGACTAAATTGGTATTGCTTTCCAATTCTCAAAAACATGAATTAATTTTATGTAATTTTTAATTGCAATTCCATTTTTTTTGACTGCTTATACTTAATCTCTCGAATTAGAAACCCTTGAATATTATTCTTAAATCTATCCACCAGGTAATGAATGCATAAATATTTAGGAACTAAACTTACATTGAGCAGAGAAGCCACATAATTTTGTTATGTATAATAAGGAAAAATTGTGGAAAATATTTTGAGTAAAACTGAATTTTAAACTGATGCGATTGCTTTCACAAAAGTAGAAAATGACACTATTATAATACTTAATTCCAAAGGATAAATATTAAAAGAAGAATAGAATATTATATTAACTTTACCTAAATTTGAATCCAAAGACTGTAAAATGTTATCTAATACTTAAAGTGTTGCAATTTATTGTTTTGATACTCAACATTTATATGTAATACAGAATTTAAGTAATAACTAATTAATTCTTAGAGAACGTAACTGAATATTAACTTGACAAAATCAAGGATATTTAAATTTTTGAGGACAAGTACATTGTGTTAAAAGGAAAAGAATTATTTTTTAATTTTAATGAAATAATAGATTCTATTAATACTACTTCAATCGAAGTATTTAGAATAATAAATAACAAAAATCTTGTGATTTTAGCATCACAAAATTAAACAAGTGTTATTTATATTTATAAATTTGTCCTTGATTAATTTGTTTATAATAGGAAAGTAATACTTAAAAGATTGTACGAAAATCCTACTTCAATTTTAATGACAGAGAATGAAGATATTTACTTAGCAACTTCATATCAATTAATGAAATATGATGGTTCAGAAACTATTTATGAGATTAGGAATATACAAAATTTGTATAATCTCCATAAGCAAGATATAATTATTAGTATTAGTAACTTTGGAGTTTTTGAATATGAGGATGATTAAATAGAACTGTAATACTTAAGAATATTGATTTTAGTTATAATTTAATGGCAAATCCTATGTAAATAATTGATTTGATTATTGGAAAGAACAATAATTATGTTTTGAGTCGATAGTATTTGTATTAGGTTACTTATTCAAAATTTAATCCTGAATTAATATGCTATCCTTAAGTATATCATAAATCAGGAATATATGAATTAGGAATAAAAGGTAATTATATTGGTTTTATAAGTTAGAAAATGATGAAGAAGAAAAAGTGATTGATATCCAAATTTAATATCCAATTCTTACTACTAGAAATGAACATTGGTTATGGATTGGAGCTGGAATATTTTTAGTTGGAGTTTTGGCTTTAGGTAACTTTAAATTATATTGTAGTATATTGCATTTATGGAAGTTATAGATTGTATAAATTAAGATAAATGAAATATTTTAATGAGTAGAAAGGTGTTTATTAAAAATAGTTATGATATAAATAATAATAATAATGTATCAACTTACAAAATAATTGGTTGATTTTCGAAGGAATCAATTTCTAAATTAAGGACTTTAGACAGAATTCACCATTCAATCTGAAAATGCGTATTGATATTATTTGAATGTATAGTAATAAATTAGTGAGTGTTGGATCACAATTAAAAAATCTAAACAATATTGAGAAACAACGTTATTTAAGACCTGATTCATCTTATGATGAGAGTTCAGGGGAATCTAGTGTTATGTGTGAATAGATTCGTTAAAAAAGATTAAGTGTAGAAGATGTTCTTTCAATAGTAATTGATTCAGAATGCAATCAAGTTATTAAATTGGAGCCTAAACCTTTTTAGAAAAAGTAATATTGAAAATAATAATTAGCAATCGAGTAGATCAAGAGTGGGAATCATAAAAAACTATAATAATATAGAATATCGATGAGGAAGCCATAGACAATCTAGACTTAAATGAATTTTTTGATGAATAGTATACAATTTTATGAATTGCGGTTTAAGGATAAGCACTTCATATAGTTTAAACGAGTTTAGCTTGGCAGCTATGCAGGCAAGCTATCAATAATTATTCGTATGAAGGAAGACAAAGGAGCTTAGTATGTGTATTACAATTTAGTGACTTCATCTCATAAATATAGGAAGGCATTAGGTGATAATATAGAAGTAATCATTTAACTTATTATTAACTAGATTGCTTAACTCAAATATATTGATAAATAGATCAATAAAAATGAGATCACTGTTGTAATGAGATTCTTACCGGTAAATTTTAATAATGAAAAGTTGGAAGCCTTATAAAACATAAGAAGTGAGGAGTTATTTACATGTATTAATTAATTTAATTTGACAGATTAAGGATTGAAGTATGGTATTTTTAAAACTTCTGATTATGAGATTGCTGAAAATATTAAGAAGAAAATAATAAGGTATTAATGGGATTTATATAATAATAAGTTATTTCTAAAACAAAAAATATAATGATATTCGTATTACAATAAAGGCTAAAAAGAAATCTACAAAAGAGAAGATCAAAGCATTTTTAGATGAGGAATCATATAATCCAAGATCCTAATTAGAATAAAAGATTGGAATGCCTTTAAGTCCACTAAAAGTACCTCCTCTTGTAGTGAAAGAAATTGAATAACCCAAAATAATACCTACAGTTATATAACCAACAATTTGTGCAATGTAATTATTATTTTTACATTATTTAGATAAATAGCTGTTCCATAGATTTAATTTAAATAGGTAAAACCAGCTGAAATTAAACCTACAATCATAGAATAAAGTGATTAGAAATTAATTGCAAGAGCTGTTTAATTAAAACCAGTTACATTAACAGTTCATAGAGAAAGAAGTTCAAGAAAAAGATGATTTAATAATAATCATTATTAGTATTATTAAAAAAAATATTAAAATAAAAAAATATATATTTAAATTTATGGTACAGATATCAGTGTGTTCCAACTTAACTTGCATCGAATTTATATTTTTTCAATACTGGATCAATATTACCCCATATTGTTAATGATGGTTATTTTCCTAATATCCAATTTTTAACACAATTTTATATATCTTATTCTGTCACATTTGCTAAATTTTATGCAATTTCTTATCTATAAACTCTTCTATCAAAATAAAGTATTTAATTTGCTATAGCTTATGAGATATCATTTCCTGTTTCATGTTAACATAATTCAATAAATAATCTTCGTTTTGATCTTTACAATTCTTCAGATGATACCTTATTACCATATTCTTCAAATATTTTCTTTGAAACTTCAATACAAGAATCTAATTAATTAGGATTCACTAAAAAATAATTCCCAAATAAAGCTGTATCTTTATATGGAGTATATACTGCCTTTTAAGTTGTAATTTCTGGATAATTTAATAATTGTTTTTAAAATGAATTTAAATTTGATTACTCAAATATTGCTGCTTCTAAAAAGTTTTATGGTTTATCTCCTAAAAGTCTTTACAAAATTAAAAAATGATAATAATGAGGATCAGTCCATTCTGGTCCTTAATAAAATAAACCTACATTAATATCTTCTGTCAATTCACTTTACATTAAAAATACTTCACTCTAAAATTCAACTGGAATTTCTTTTTTAATTTATTACTTTTTTTTATGAATTTTACTAAAATGCTTAGTCACATATTCACATAATTATTCTTATTAAATATTACCAACTCCACAAACTATTAGATTTTCTCCATAATAATTATTTTAATGATATTCAGCTATCATATCTCTTGTAATTGAATACATATTTTAAATCTTTCCTAAGATTGGTAATGACATTTAATGATTTTTATAAGCCTTTTAATATAAAATTAAATCATTACTGAACGATGAGATATTTCAATTAATGTTTCAAATTACATTTTTCTAGTTTCAAATAATTCTCTATAAATTGTATGTCTTTCCCTTTCTACATCTGATTTTGCATAAATTGAATTTGTAAGCATATCTCCAAGAATTTCAACAGCATTTTCAGCCTTATTTTTTTATGCATTTATTGTATATGATGTATTTTCTCTTGAAGTATATGCATTCAATTATCCACCAAAATTCTCAACATCACATTCCAATCGATCTCTACTTCTTTTACCAGTTCCCTAAAATATATATTGAATAAATAAACTACCTTAAAATGTAAATGCTCTAAAAAATGTGCTGTTCCACTTGTTGCCTCTGTTTCATTTCTACTTCCACATTTGATATATATTGTAATACTTTTTAATATTAATAATTATAATTACTGTGCTAATTCAGATGGCCAATATTCTGTACATACTCTAATACCATTTGATAGAATTGTGTCACCAAATTCTCTATCTACACTTACATTTTGTGGAATTTCTTAATGTCTAAATTATTTAAGATTATAAAGTGTGCTAAAACCCTTTTATAACACTTTCCTAATAATCATAATTATATTTAATTTAATTATTTTTGTAATTAGATTTAATAAGAGATTGCTATAGAATTTCTTAACTTATTAAATTTACACACTCCTTATATATTCTCATTTAATTTAATGGAATATCTCAGACAAGAATTTAGAATTATTTCTAGGAATTAAATTTTATTTAAATAATTAATATTTTGATTAATAAAATGTCGGATTATGATTCTGACATAGAATTTGAATAGTGTTTTTAAGATGATGGGGTAAATTAAATTCTATTGATTCTAGCTATCTAATTGGATTAGAAATTGTTATATAAAAAATTATAATGTAGACAAAATTCTCTGTAGATTAAATTAAGAAAAATAATTAGAAAAGAAATTGGAATATCTTCATCCAAATCATCAATAATTCGATTCTTATTATTATTTGATTAAATAATTAAACTAATACATCAGATAATAACAAAATATCGATCTATACTTAGAATTATTAATAAAATCTCAGAGTTTTTAAAATGAAATTTTAGAGAGATGTCATCTAATAATAACATAAATAAATTCAATAAATAATATATAGAAAAAAATTGAAGAGCTATTTCAAATATTTTATTTCTTGAAAGATATTGATATGAATATCTTAAAGTAATCAAATATTTCTTTAATATTCTCTTTATGTAGGATTATTAAAATGGATTACCCTGAAAATGAATTCAAATCACTCATTGATTAATTCAATAATTTTCTTAGGCTAATATAAGCAAGTGCTAAAAAGTTTTAATATAAAAATACTCCTGTCTATCCAATATCTTTAGAATTTATATAATTTAAACGTGAAAATAAATAAATCTTTGGAGAACTTCAAGAATTAGATACAAAAGAGAAATCTCTACTAATATACTTAGATTAACATTTTAATATTTTAAGAGAAGACTTTATATATATTATGAGAAAATCAATAAGTTATTTTTCTGAAACAGGATTTTATAACTATATTAAAAGTGAATACCTTAATAATATAGGTTTATATTAAAATATAAATTTAATATCATTTGAAATGAACAATTATGATTTATTATGGAAAATATCTTTAGAATAATTTAATTTAGATGGACGAAAATATCAAGTTATTGATTGGAATAGATCAAAAAAATTAAGTAGAGGTTCTCTGATTTGTATAACTAATGTTGAATGTCATCCTTTACTTTTTGGTGTAATTACTTAAAGAAGTACTAATTAAGATAACTATTAGAATTAAAATAAAATTAATTTAGAATTTCGATTTCTGAATCCAAAATCATAAATAATGGAGTTCTTAATGTTATTAAATTAAAACTCAATTTTAATTGAATATTAAACTTAAATTGAGCCATATATTTATTTTTTAGAATAATTAAAAAAAATAGAAAAATTACCATTTGAGAATTTAATTCTCAAAAATTAGAATAAAGTACTTCATCCAAAATATCTTCAATAAAATTCATTATATTAAATAGATTTATCAGAATAAAATACATATTATCGGCAAAAAATTGATGTGTTAAACGAAAGTTGGCCTGTTATGGAATCAACTTTGGATAATTCATAATTAAAAGCTATAAAATTAATTCTTTCAAAAGAAGTAGCTTTAATTAAAGGACCTCCAGGAACTGGGAAAACTTATTGTGGTGTTTTAGCTGTTAAAATTTTATGTGAAAATTTAATCCAAAATAATTTTCCTATTTTGATAGTTTGTTAGACAAATCATGCTTTAGAGAAATTTCTAAAGAGCCTTATTTAATTTGTTTCATCCAGAGAAATAGCTTTACTTGGAGCATTTCCTAAATCTGCTGCCCTTAAAGATATCCATTTTTAATAAAGATTAGAAATTCAATTTAATTGGAATTAGTTCAAAGAACTCAAAAATTAAATAAGAATAATTTTCAATAGATTAAGTTAATATGATTATTTTATCAATGCGAATGATATTAAAGAATTCTGGCCTGAATTAAGTCATAAATTAATTCATAATTTTATGGATGATAATAATTTGGATAAATCATAAATTGATGTAAATTACATCTTAAATTGTTGGCTTGATGGAAAACTTCCAAACTGTTCGAGGTTTTATGATTAGGTAGAACTAAGAGGAATGTATAAATATTTTAAGAAATTTGAAATAACTGAATAAGTTCATACAAATAATATTTTTGAAAAAGTTTATGAATCGTATGATGATGATTATTACAGTGATGAATAAGATGAAGATTTAGATAGTTTAGATAGTTTAGATAGTTTAGATAGTTTTGATAGTTTTATAGATTTTGAAGATGAATATTAAGAAGATGAATTTGATTTTCAATAGGAAGATGAAATTAAAATTAACTACAATAAATTACAATTACATTATAATTTTTATGGAATTGAAGAGATTTAGAAACACATATAAAAATAAACATTTAATCCTTGGGAACTTAATTATTATGATATATAGGAAATAATTTAATATTTGGAGTTTCTCAAATATAAGAAAGATTGTTTATTGTTTGAAGATAAATATAAATAATTTAAGGAAATGTCCCAAACATTAAAAAATCTTTACGATGATGAAGAAATTAAAAAATTGAATCAATACAAGATTATTGGAGTAACAGTATCTAGTGCAGCAAGACATTTATCAAAATTATAATAACTAAATTCAAAAGTTTTAGTAATAGAAGAAGCTGCAAAAGTGTTAGAATCCCAAATTGCATGTATTTTGATGAAAAATTTATAACATCTTATTTTAATAGGAGATCATAATTAATTAGGCCCTGAATTAAAATGTTATGATTTAAAAACTAAATATAATGGAAATATTTCATTATTTGAAAGATTTTATAATAATAAGATTCCATAAGTAGAATTAACTTTTTAAAGAAGAATGAAAACTAAATTTGCTGATTTTATTAGACTTATCTATGGAAAACAATATTAAGATCATACTTATGTTGAAGAAAATAGAAATAATTTAGATATTATAGGTTTAGAACATGATTTATTGTTTTTTAATCATTCTTGGTTAGAAAGTTAAGATAAGAAATCAAAAGAAAATATTGAAGAGGCTAAAATGATATTGTAAATGGTTTAATACCTGGTAAAAGTTGGATATAAATAGTAATAAATTAGTGTTCTATCATTATATTCAAGGCAAGTTAATATTTTGTAGAAATATTTTATAAAATAATCATTAAACCAAGTGATTGTATAGACTGTTGATAATTATTAAGGGGAAGAAAATGATATTGTGATTATTTCATTAGTTAGAAATAATTAATATAATTAAAATCAACTTGGATTTTTAGGAGATTAGAAAAGAATTAATGTTGCTTTATCAAGAGCAAAAATAGGTCTTTATGTATTTGGTAGCTTTGATTTCATTAAAGAAGTCTCAAGTAATGGTTCTTTGTGGTAAAAAATACTTTTTTTGGCAGGAAGTAAGAAATGTTTAAAAGATTCTATAACTTTAAAATGTTTGACTCATTCTACATTAAGAAATGTTAAATAACCAAATGACTGGTCTAAATTTGATGCAGGATGTTGTGATAAGATTTGCAATTTAAAATTTGAAGGATGTAATCACAAATGCCAAAAAAAATGCCATTTAGGAGATCATTATCGAGATTAATGTCCAGAATAATGTCAATAAACATTAAAATGCGGTCATGCTTGTGAATAAAAGTGTAGAGACCAATGTATCTGCACTAAACAGCTTGAAATATTACTTGATTGTAACCACATGGCTTTTATAGCTTGTGGTAAGAATCCTGCAGAAGTAGTTTGTTAAGAGGATATAAAATTAACATTAAAAGAATGTTAACACATAGTTAATTACAAGTGTTTTTAAAGGAAAAATATTTCGCTTAAATGTCAATATCAATGTGAAAAAGTTCTAAATTGTGGTCATAATTGTAAAAGGTTATGCTGGGAGATTTGTTACAGTAGGAAAGGAATTGATGAATGTTTCTCGAATTATTTTAAAGTATTCATTTTTTTTATATTCTATAGCATCATAAGAAGAATTCATTAGAACTAAAAAATAAAAATCGAGATCTCTTTTTCTGCCTTGTAAAGAAAAATGCATAAAACTTAAAAATTGTGGGCATAAATGTTAAAATATGTGTTATGAGCGATGCACTCCTTGTAAAGAAAAATGCTTAAAAATAAAAAATTGTGGGCATAAATGTAAAAATTTGTGTTTTGAACAATGCACTCCTTGTAAAGAAAAATGCTTAAAAGTTTAAAATTGTGGGCATAAATGTTAAAATTTGTGTTATGAACGATGCTCCCCTTGTAAAGAACGATGTATAAAAATTAAATATTGTGGGCATAAATGTTAAAGTTTATGTTATGAACGATGCTCTCCTTGTTAATAATAGATTCCTATCCAACTTTATTGTGGATAGCATTATATTTATAAAAATTGCTTTGAAATTCAAATTTTTTTAATTTTAATTAAAAATATAACTCCTTATTTTCTTAAATCTAGAATTGGTTAAAATTACTTAAATCATTTATTTAGAAAATTAGCTGAAGGTTGTAGAGATTATCTTTAAATTTTTGAATAAAAATATGAATTTATTTGTAGATCTCCTTGTTAAAAACCAAGAGAATGTGGACACATTTTTTAATGCAAGAATTTATGTTCTTAAGAATGCACTCCATGTGAGTAGAGGATTTCAAGAATTTTAGATTGTGGTCATCAATATGAAGTTGTATGCAATAATTTAAATAATTTCTTAAGAACCTTCAAATGTAAAAAAAAATGCATAAGATAGTACTAATGTGGGCATAACTAAAAATGTAAGTAGTTATGTTTTGAATAATGTACACCATGTCAAGAAACAGTTATAAAATAATTTAATTGTGGACATTCAGTAAGAACATAATGTTTTAAAAATTATATTTGTAGAAAATAATGTATAAGAAAAAGAGAATGTGGTCATTAAAATCCTTGTCTTAATAGGTGTGATTAAGAATGTTCTCCTTGCTAAATTATAGTTAAAAAAACTTTGGCTTGTGGACACTAGGTTATGACTAAATGTTCTTCTACAGATTTGCAATGTTAAAAGTAATGTTAGAGATAAAGACCATGTGGACATACTTATCCTTGCTATAATTATTGTTATCAATCTTGCAGTCCTTGTTCATAGTAAATTCTTATTACTCTATCTTGTGGTCATTAGATATATATTGAATGCTAATACTAAGAATATTATGGGAATAACTTATATTGTCGAATTTGTTAGTCTAACTTTTTTTGAGGAATATTATATATTATTGATCTAAATTTTATTAATTATATCAATTAAAATTTGAAAGGATAACTTTTTTGAATTTGTGTTTAAATATAGATTACAATTACTTATTTAATATTGTTGTTCTTTGAGAAAACTTGAGAATGATAAGTATTTCAGAAACTATGTTGTAATTTTCTGTTAATTATTCTATGTTAATTTGATTTGAGTTTCTTATTTTGTGATGAAAATTAAATAGATAAATAATTTGCATCAATAGTTGTATACTAATGATTGCTACTGAAATTTTATCTGATAAGGTATTATATATGTTATATCATCTTAGCCAGAAGACTAATATTAAAGATTAGAGAAAGCTGTAAATTTAATTAATGTATAATATATTAGATGATCGAATTGTTCAAATATGATAATTTACTAAATAATGAGTACTTAGTCAGAAAATTTGAGACTGATATAATGAAGCCAGAGTGGTATTTACTACAATATGTTGTCGTATAGAGAGAAAATTCGATAAAAAGCTAATATGTCTAAAACGAATTAAACACTCGTAAAAAATATCATTTAATCTTAACTGATGTACAGAATATATATATAATTTTAGATTTTGAACAAATATAACAAATAATTATGGAATTTCGATCATCAAATGTTAATCATACGTCCTTATTTCTAAACAGAGAGAAAGAGGATATAAATAAAAATACCAGTTATTTAAGTTTCAATAATTAAAGACACATTGTAAAAGTCTGGATTCGTAAAAGAGGAATTAGTATTTGAAGAAGAAATTTATTAAGCTGACAAAAGTTATGTTAAATTAATATTAACATCTTAAACTGAAGGTTATGCAGTTGAAATATTTGATTTTTTAATGTCTAAAAAGGCAGAACTTCAAATTGATTCTGTAATTATGTAAAATGTTGATTATTTGGATGAATTTCATAAATAAATTAATTCAAAAAAATGTTAAATGATGACTAAAAAAATAGAATAACAAGAATATGATCCATAAGAATATAAAAGAAATGATTAACATGAAGAATAAGAAAAAGATCATCAGTATTAAAAATCTAGAGGAAGAGGAAATAGAGGAAGAGGAAATTATGGATATTATAGAAATGATAAAGATGATGATAGAAATGATGAGAAATATTAAAATAAAGATAAAGGAGATAGATAAGATAGATAAGATAGAGGAGGTAGAAATCATGATAGAAGAGGTGGATAAAGAGATAGAGGAAATAATGTAATTATTTTAATTTTATTATTTTTTAGTAATATGTATAAAAAAGTGATGCTCATCATTAATAATAATAATAAGTACAGTAACAATAACATTATTAACTGATTCCTAAAGCAGTTTTATAAAAGACTCCAAAATAAAACATTAAGCCAAACACATTGAATGCTCATGATTTCCCTGCCCTAGATTCTGAATAAAAGAGTTGAGTTATACGAGTAATAGCTCTATAGAATTATTAAAGTATTAAACTTCTCTTTAGCCTATTTATCTAATTACTTTCTAATATATTCAATATATTTCTCAATCCTAAATTAATTATTAAGATCAATAATCTCTAATGATAAAAATTTATTAATTAATCAAGGCATTTTATTGAATACATAAAATATTAAAAATATGATAAATAATTCCTTAATAATTTAAATATATTTTTATTTATTATGATGACCATATAAACATACTATTTAAAGAACAATATAATCATAAATTAAAAGAATATTTAATAAAAACATATTAACTTTAGATATTATACTAATATTAATGTATTCTCATGCACCAATTGCCAATCTATTCTTAGCTACTTATTTTCTTGATTAACGAGCAACAACCTTATTATTTGCTTCTTTCTTCACATTCTCATCTTTTTCAGCAGCCCATATTTCAACATGTGCATTAGATGAAAGGAATGCTATATTATTTAATAATTTTATTTACGATTAATTCTTCCGTGAGCTCTGTATGTTCTACGTCTACCTTTTTAAGCTCTGTTAACTTAAACATGATTGATGATAAGCTTTTCATTACTCAAATTCTTGACTTAAGCATTAGCTGCCAAATTTTATAAAAGTGACAATACTATTCTTACACTCTTTTCTGGCCATCTACCTATAATAATTATTATTTCATTAATTTACCTTAAGATCTGCCGAATTCTTTGGCTTAGCTTGTTCTGCCAACACCTCCATTAAATCTAGTGAATGGAACACATCTCTTATGTTATAAGACATCTTGTAAATATTTGAGTGCTTAAGCAACAGTTTAACCTTTAAGTGCTCTTGCTACTTCATAGGTATTCTTAAAATGTGTTCTCAAATCACTTGCTTTAGCCTTGGCTGATTTTTTAGCAACTGCTGGTTCTCTAGCATATTGTTTGCCCATTGAATCCTTTTAATTAATTTAATTTTTTTTTTCAAATTCTGAATCAATATGATAATAACAATATAGAAATTAACAAATGTGATTAATATCATATAATATTTGATATCAGATAAACAATATATATATACTTTATGTAATTGTAGAGTGTAGATGAATATTATATTAAATGTTAAAATAAAAGTTGAATGTATAGATATATAATAGTTTAATAATAATAATAATAATAATAATAAGTTCATTTTTTACTTTTTTATTTTGATTTATTTTTTTATTGATTATCAGAAGATTCTTCCTAATAATTACTGCAATATGAATCAAAGTTTTCTGAATATTAAACACTTTCTTATTTTTTATCATCAGTCATTATAAAACTTGTCTAACAACCAATATTTAATTAATCTATTGATTATGAACTCTTTCTTTATTCAATTCTTAATCTTCTATTCTCATCATAATCTATAAAAGAATTATCATTATTTTTTGTATCACTTCTTTATAATCTATCTAAAAATTTATCAGATCTTTAAACAGAATGACTTCCCAATACAAGTCTTTATTTATAATTAGATTTTTAACTCATTCTACTATTTGTCTTCTAGATTGTTGGTAACATAATGCTATTATCAGTAGAAAGAACAACATTACAGAATCTGTTATTCAATTATTATTCTTTCTATTTTGCCCTAAATTAAGCTCTATATAATACAAAGAGATTTCTCCTAATAATTATTATTCTTATTTCTTTAGATTATTGATATCAAATATTTTCTTATTAANAAAAACATATTAACTTTAGATATTATACTAATATTAATGTATTCTCATGCACCAATTGCCAATCTATTCTTAGCTACTTATTTTCTTGATTAACGAGCAACAACCTTATTATTTGCTTCTTTCTTCACATTCTCATCTTTTTCAGCAGCCCATATTTCAACATGTGCATTAGATGAAAGGAATGCTATATTATTTAATAATTTTATTTACGATTAATTCTTCCGTGAGCTCTGTATGTTCTACGTCTACCTTTTTAAGCTCTGTTAACTTAAACATGATTGATGATAAGCTTTTCATTACTCAAATTCTTGACTTAAGCATTAGCTGCCAAATTTTATAAAAGTGACAATACTATTCTTACACTCTTTTCTGGCCATCTACCTATAATAATTATTATTTCATTAATTTACCTTAAGATCTGCCGAATTCTTTGGCTTAGCTTGTTCTGCCAACACCTCCATTAAATCTAGTGAATGGAACACATCTCTTATGTTATAAGACATCTTGTAAATATTTGAGTGCTTAAGCAACAGTTTAACCTTTAAGTGCTCTTNAATAGAATAACAAGAATATGATCCATAAGAATATAAAAGAAATGATTAACATGAAGAATAAGAAAAAGATCATCAGTATTAAAAATCTAGAGGAAGAGGAAATAGAGGAAGAGGAAATTATGGATATTATAGAAATGATAAAGATGATGATAGAAATGATGAGAAATATTAAAATAAAGATAAAGGAGATAGATAAGATAGATAAGATAGAGGAGGTAGAAATCATGATAGAAGAGGTGGATAAAGAGATAGAGGAAATAATGTAATTATTTTAATTTTATTATTTTTTAGTAATATGTATAAAAAAGTGATGCTCATCATTAATAATAATAATAAGTACAGTAACAATAACATTATTAACTGATTCCTAAAGCAGTTTTATAAAAGACTCCAAAATAAAACATTAAGCCAAACACATTGAATGCTCATGATTTCCCTGCCCTAGATTCTGAATAAAAGAGTTGAGTTATACGAGTAATAGCTCTATAGAATTATTAAAGTATTAAACTTCTCTTTAGCCTATTTATCTAATTACTTTCTAATATATTCAATATATTTCTCAATCCTAAATTAATTATTAAGATCAATAATCTCTAATGATAAAAATTTATTAATTAATCAAGGCATTTTATTGAATACATAAAATATTAAAAATATGATAAATAATTCCTTAATAATTTAAATATATTTTTATTTATTATGATGACCATATAAACATACTATTTAAAGAACAATATAATCATAAATTAAAAGAATATTTAATAAAAACATATTAACTTTAGATATTATACTAATATTAATGTATTCTCATGCACCAATTGCCAATCTATTCTTAGCTACTTATTTTCTTGATTAACGAGCAACAACCTTATTATTTGCTTCTTTCTTCACATTCTCATCTTTTTCAGCAGCCCATATTTCAACATGTGCATTAGATGAAAGGAATGCTATATTATTTAATAATTTTATTTACGATTAATTCTTCCGTGAGCTCTGTATGTTCTACGTCTACCTTTTTAAGCTCTGTTAACTTAAACATGATTGATGATAAGCTTTTCATTACTCAAATTCTTGACTTAAGCATTAGCTGCCAAATTTTATAAAAGTGACAATACTATTCTTACACTCTTTTCTGGCCATCTACCTATAATAATTATTATTTCATTAATTTACCTTAAGATCTGCCGAATTCTTTGGCTTAGCTTGTTCTGCCAACACCTCCATTAAATCTAGTGAATGGAACACATCTCTTATGTTATAAGACATCTTGTAAATATTTGAGTGCTTAAGCAACAGTTTAACCTTTAAGTGCTCTTGCTACTTCATAGGTATTCTTAAAATGTGTTCTCAAATCACTTGCTTTAGCCTTGGCTGATTTTTTAGCAACTGCTGGTTCTCTAGCATATTGTTTGCCCATTGAATCCTTTTAATTAATTTAATTTTTTTTTTCAAATTCTGAATCAATATGATAATAACAATATAGAAATTAACAAATGTGATTAATATCATATAATATTTGATATCAGATAAACAATATATATATACTTTATGTAATTGTAGAGTGTAGATGAATATTATATTAAATGTTAAAATAAAAGTTGAATGTATAGATATATAATAGTTTAATAATAATAATAATAATAATAATAAGTTCATTTTTTACTTTTTTATTTTGATTTATTTTTTTATTGATTATCAGAAGATTCTTCCTAATAATTACTGCAATATGAATCAAAGTTTTCTGAATATTAAACACTTTCTTATTTTTTATCATCAGTCATTATAAAACTTGTCTAACAACCAATATTTAATTAATCTATTGATTATGAACTCTTTCTTTATTCAATTCTTAATCTTCTATTCTCATCATAATCTATAAAAGAATTATCATTATTTTTTGTATCACTTCTTTATAATCTATCTAAAAATTTATCAGATCTTTAAACAGAATGACTTCCCAATACAAGTCTTTATTTATAATTAGATTTTTAACTCATTCTACTATTTGTCTTCTAGATTGTTGGTAACATAATGCTATTATCAGTAGAAAGAACAACATTACAGAATCTGTTATTCAATTATTATTCTTTCTATTTTGCCCTAAATTAAGCTCTATATAATACAAAGAGATTTCTCCTAATAATTATTATTCTTATTTCTTTAGATTATTGATATCAAATATTTTCTTATTAACTATTAATTTATTCATTTCCATTTCTTATAATTATCGTTATCTAACTTCAATTATCTTTTTTTCATAATATTCAGCTTTCCTTCTTAATACTTCTGAATCTTAATCTTCAATTTATTTAACTCTTTTTTTTTTCTGTTAAATTTCTATATTTCTTTAGTTTTATAATTATGATTCTGTTTTTAGTCTTTCATTTCTTACATAAATTCCTTCTTTCTCAACTATTGGTTTAAATTATTCCCTTATTTATTTTCTATCTAATCCCAATTATTCTTATAATTAAGCAATTGGTGATTTTCTAGCATTTGGTGATAATTGTTTCAAATCTTTTAATTTATTTTATAGTATGAAGTTCTTTTAATCTATATCCTTTAATTAAAATTTAAGCGAGTTTACTCTTTTTTTTATTTAATCATGTTCTTAATTTACTTACACGAAACTTTATTAATTCATAATAAATTATAAAATAAATAAATTAGTTTTTTTCATTAAAAAATTTTGTTAATCACTCTTTATTATGAAGTTGTCATTATTCTACTTGTTTGAGATGTGGATCTTTTTTAATTCATCATGCTTTTACAATTTGAATGAGATATATTTGTTGTTCGAAGTCTGAATTATGTTCCGAAAGTATAATTCAGATAATCTTATCTTTCTTTGCATTCTGTTGAAATCCTATCTGTTGAAGCTATATTAACCAATTTAGGCTTGACAAATGGAATTTCATCATTAGTCTTAAGTCTCGTTGAATGGAACTTAGATTTACTTAAGCTAGCTTCAGTCTTCTCACTTTGTTTTGCCTATAATTAACTGTTAACTTTAAGTTTTTTTTCTGAATATATTCTTTTCATTAATTTTGGTAAATCTAATTACTTAATCTTAATCTATTTGTTCTATCTAAATTATAGGAGTTATTTGTTACTAATCTTTTGAATCATTGTTTTTAAATGCTTTTAATTGTTCCAATATATCAAACTTTTAATGATGCAACTTTTATGTTTGTTAAATTTCACATTTTTACTTCTCAATCAATTCTTTGAACTTTCCTGTTCTCTATAAATGAAAAAATTGCATATTTGATAAATTTAATATTCTTACCAAAAATCTTTAACTACCCTATGTAATAGAAAATAATCAAAACAGCATTAGACATAAATCCATTAAAATTCAATTTTCACCCTAAGCCCATCATTAATGTTATTAGTCAAACAACAATTAGAATGTAATATATATATTAAAGATATTTTATATAAATAAGTAATGATCAAATAAATTATCCTCTCTACCTTTTCTAAAATTTTAAAAAATTATTAAACAATTTTTCATCTTAATTTAAATTTGCTTAAGTCTCAAATAAAGAGTGCTCCTATTTTTTTAGTAAATATTTATTTGAAATAATATCTTTTAGATTTAAATTTTAATCCCCTAAGTTTATTCCTTTTTTATTTAAATTTGTTTATAAATTCTAAAATTTATTATCATTGCTAGTCCCTCTTATTTATAACTATCCTTAACCATTAAATTTATTGTTTATTTTATCATAATCTCTATCAAATTTTACCATATGATAACCAATATCATAACAAATCTTTTATATATCCTTAGATTAAATATTTTCTTTCATATCCTTTAACTATAATGACATGATTGTCACACTTTTATCATCCATAGATGATTTAGGTCTTGTATATGTTTTTACTTGAGGACTTGATGATTTTTAAGGGTAATTCTTCATTCTCTATCTTACATCAGATATATTAATTTTATTATTATCATTTTTATTATGTTTAATGGTCTCAGTTTTATTCAATCTAAATATATCTTACAAATCATTATCATTTTATTTTATTTATCTTGTTTAGGAATTATTAGTAATTTTTGATTATTTTTCTTAAGACTTTGTTTAAACAATTTGATTATTAGTTTAAATTGTATTTTTTTATCTTTCCTTTAATTTTTCATTTGGATGTTTTATTGAATGAAAATTTTGATAATCATAGGGTTGTTATTATTGATTAAGTATTTTTGAATTGTTTTCTCTTCCTTAATTGAGAGAATTATTTCTTTAATTCTAACTAATTGGCCTAACTTCACTAATTGATGTTTGATAATGGACAGCAATATCAGTTTTAAATTTCTGTTATTAGTTTTGCATATTAAATTATATTGCATTATTTGAAAAGGATTTTGGTCTATTCATTTTTACTTGGTCTTAATAATTTTGATAACTCACTCTTCTAGAATCTTAATAAAGCATTAATCAGTTAAAATTATCATTAAATTATATAATTTATATTATAGAAGTTGGGAATGATAATTTATTTTACATAATATCAAATATTTAGATATGAGTATAGATGTATATATTAAAATAAAATAATTGTGTTTATATTCACTAAAATATTTATTGTTATTTTAATCAACCGAAAAATGAGAAATTATAAATCTGTTATTTTTAATATTTATTCTCTTTTTAAGGTAGTTAAATATTTATATTTGTTCAATTTTCCTTAAATAAAATGTGTTAATATTTTTATTATATTTGAATACTTATGTAATAGAAGGAAGTATACATAAATTTTACTTAAAGGATTCATAAATATTTAGTGCATCCCCAAGGAACAAAACAGAAAGATTAGCTAGCTCATAAGTTGTCGCTTTGAGATCTATATAAAAAGCTATTAAGTATAAGATGATGATCATTACAGAAAATAGGACTTGAGTGTTATTTTAGGTTCTCTAAATAATTATAATGGATCCCCATCATAATAAAATGATAGTGTAAAAATGTATAGGAAACCTAGTTTTAATTGTTTTAGATGGAAGAACGAGAAGTCCATTAACAATTAGGTGATTTAAGAAAAGAATATGATGCATATCATACATAATCATTAAGAGCTGATAAAGAAATTTAACAATTCAAAGTAAATAATGAATGTTTACATTTAGGATTAAATATAAAAGTTAAGTTTAGAAGAAGCTGAACTAATAGACAATGCAACTTGGTTAACAAAAGAATTGGAAACATCAAAAAGTGATTATATACTTGCAAAATAAAGATTTGAAGAAAGTTAAATGAGTGAAAAATCTTATAATCATGTATTAAGTAGATTAAAACATGATGTTCTATGTTTTAAAAAAAAAGTTAACGAAATGGTAGATATGCTTCACAAAATAAAAGCAGAAGCCTAATAAGCTGATGTAAAGTAATGGGAATCAATTTAACTTAATAAAATGACTAGAAAGTTATGTGATGAAATGATGAATGTATTTTGTATAAAACAAATAATAGAATATTGAAATTGAAAAAAATAATAGGAAACGATAAATAGCTTAGTATAATTAATAAATAAAAGTATAATTGGCTGCTAAAGAAAAAAGAAATGAAAGAATAATGAAATAAAAAGAAATAGCTGAACATGCAAGCAATGATAAAGATGCAAATGAAGTTTATTCTATATATCAAACTTATTTTAGAAAAAATGGAGAAGATTATTATTGACTCATAAAGTTGTACATTCACTATTAAAAAATAAAATGGAAAAAGAAATGAAAAAATTTTAAATAGTTGAAGGAGCATTTCAAGAAATAAAAACAGCTACTGGAATCCAAGAAGCTTAAGATATTGTTTAAAAGTTTTTAACTAAAGAATCTACCTATGGTTCATTATTAGGTAATATTCTTAAAATTAATTATTAGGTACTATTGCTGAAAGTGAAAAAAAGATTGATCATTTGAAAAGGAAAAACGAAAATTTAAAGTATTTTTATATATAACTTTAGAAATAAATTATAATCATTAAAAGATGAAGTATAAGTAATGGAAATGAGTGCTAAACCTTCTAAAAAAGGTGTAGATTCTGAATTTTACAAATAATTTTATAATATTGATGAAAAAGCAAAAAAAGCAGAAATCATGAAATAGAAACTTTATACTTGGAGTATTAAAATGTTATCTAAATTGGAAAAATCAAAGTTTTCACAATAAGATGATCGAACCAATTTACATATCTTATATCCAAGAGGCAAAGATGTAGAATTATTTGAATATTTACAAAAAATAATAATTGAAGACATTGATTCTTCTAAACCAGAAGTTATTTATTAATTATATATTATAGGAAATATTATAAGTTATTGGTGAAGTAAATAGATCTTAAATTAGAAATGATACTTTAAATGAAGAATACTTAAAAAAGAATGTTAGAGTTAAATACAAAAAACCAACATAGAGAGAAAATCTTAAAAGAACTAAATCTATGGATTCTAAAGCTGATTTAAGTAACAGAAGTTTTAGTTAATTTGGTTAATCAAGTGATTCTAGTCCTGAGTAATCTTTTTATGAATCTGAATCAGATGGGAACACAATTGATGAAAATAGTGAAAAAAATCATTTTAATTAACTAATAGATGAAGCTAAATAAATAAAAAAGCCAAAGAAAAAGGATGAAAATTCTTATGGAAAAAATTGATAATATTGCTATATTATTGCAATTATAATAAACTATTTCTTTATTATATTAGAATAATTGTTTAATATACACTATTCATAAATATATATCTTATTAAAATAATTAGAATAATTAAATTTAAATATCTTAACAATATATATTAAAAATAAAAAAATGGATATATTTTTTAATTCATCTAAGGTTAACTAGAATGAATAATTCATTTTCATTTTTTATTTTTCCCTCTTTTAATAAATATGAAATAGATTTTCTATTTATAATTATAAAAAATACTTTATGTCATAAAGTTCAATATTATTAGAAACTCTAAAATATTTTATTATTTCATCTAAACTCTTTCCTTAATTTGGATATTTACCTAAATATGTTAAGATCTTTAATAAAATAATATTGATTTTTACATCTTCATTCAAATTACTAACTTCAATAAGTATCTATTGTTCTTCTTCATTTTCCATTCTTACTTACATCTATTGTTTCAATCCTTCATGTAATCTTACCCAAGTTATGACTTTTATCATTTAATATGTTATCATTGCTGATTAATTTACCTATTGTATAGTCTAAATATCAAAGAAGACTTCTCTTTTGTATACTCTGGCTTTCAAAATAAAATTATAATAAAATAATCCTTGAAGGTCTTAATTGATTTTATTAAATAAATTTTGATCGAATTCCGATATTAAATTTATGATAAGATTAATAGAATCTGTATCATCATTAATAGTAATTATCCCTTTATTTTATTATTGAATGCAATTTTGTTTTCGACTAATTACATTTAAGTAGGTAATATTAGATTTGTTTAATATTGCTTTTTTTTCACAAGGAGAGACTTTTATTTATTTCATCAATCTAATATTCAGAGGAATGATTTATTCTTGATTGGTATAAACATCATTAGCACTTATTTGTCGAGCAAACATATTTCTTTTTTTTTCTTAAGTTTATTAAAATTTTTTTTACAAATTTTAATATCATTAAAAATAAGTCTTTCATCAGAATGAAAACATAAAACTTTATTTATTTAATATATTCTAATTTAAAAATTATAATAATAATTAGATGAATTTTTGTTATATATATTTTTAATTTAAAACTTCTAAATGCCAAAACTAGTATCATTATTTAAATTCATGATTTGAATATTGAATTGATAATAATAATTATAGTTTCAATTGTTTTATATATATTAGGATTTTAAATTAAATTTTATATAATATATATATATAATTAATTATCCTAATGTCTGGAATTTTTGAATATAATGGTGGATCCATAGTTGGAATGAAAGGAAAAAACTGTATTGCTATGGCATGTGACAGAAGATTCGGTCAATAAATGTCTACAATCACAACTAATTATCAAAAAGTGTTTAAGATTCAAGACAATATTTTATTAGCATTATCAGGTCTTAATACAGATATTCATACATTGTAAATTTAGTGTATATAAATTAGTTATGCATTGATGGAAAAGGAAATCAACTTATACAATTTAAAAGAAAATAGAAAAATGAAACCAACAACATTTGCAAATTTAGTTGCATCTGCATTATATGAAAGAAGGTATGAATCTTCAATTAAAATTTAAGATTTGGACC